TGAATATTCCCTCTGTTTTGATTGATAGCTGTTACAAACGTAATATCTACGAACGTTAACGATTGGAAATCGAAGAGTTCTGCAGTAGAAGGTTACACAGGTGTCCAGGTTCCCAAGGGGCGCGGTCGCGCGGCGCTTCGTGCTCCAACCTAACCATTAAGACTGATTTAAGCGCTTCATAATACTAGAAAATGTATAAACACTACTAAGAATGTTTTCATACATTTTTTATGTATTGAACAGTTAACGAAGTTGTTTCTAGCCTTGCTCAGGACTAGGTATTTTATAGTGAAACGGTATAATAATATAAACTATAAAGATTTTTGTAATTTCACCAATATTCAGATCTTTGTCTAATAATTAGACTCTAATTAGTAATTACGTTGTACGTACCTACAGGTCGCATTCAACTGGAAATTAAGACATGTCCATTCAGAGTCTATGATAATGCATAATGTGATTCACACATGTAATAGGTAGACAAGGTGGCAAATGTTAAAGTTAAACTAAGATGAGAACTTCTGATCTGATCTGATCAAGACTTGTATAAGGTAACTTTCTGCTTCGCTAAAGCAATTATTTTGCTGAATGAAGGACGGTCTAGGTCTCTGTCTTTTAAGTATTCATAGAAATGAACTGCAACAAAACTTAAAGGCACTTAACATGTATTATGATTAGTATTGTTAAACTAGTGTATTCCTCTTATTGAAGGAATACTAAAGGAATACAAGAAGTCCTCGGCCACGGAGCATTATTTTGGGTATGGTTGAATAAGCTATTGCAATTTACTTATTTGACTTTCACTAAAACTACTTGGTGTTAAAACAATAACTCTTGCTTATCCATTTTCTCCTCTCATAGGAAAATAGAAACAGATATGTTTTCTGTTTCCCGTGATCCTTTCTTCTTCTTCAGACCACAAAGTACCTAATTTGAAGTTATCCTTATGAAACGATTTTTAGAAGGCCGGGAAAAAAGGAATCAAGTCCCTTAAAATTAAAATAAGTTCCTACTTATTCCTTTCCTAGGAAGTATTCTTTTATGTTATAATGCAAAGCCCTTGAAATAGCATAGGTAATTACCGTAAGTAGGTATGGCCTTATTACTTAAATATGGGTGAAGAATTGTGTGAAGAACAAGAGTTTTCTTGGGTTCGTAATTATCTAACGCTGTTTCTGGCTGCCGTCACTCCATCTCTATATGTTTTTTAATATTTCCCTGTAATGCTTAACCTAAGTGAAAATGGAGGCTCTAGGGCGGCACAAGAACACGATCAATATGTACGGCAGGTCCTGATTGGTTGCAAATGTCTTTTCCCACGGCCGTCCCACACTACCGCTGACACGGCATACCAGTGGAAACGAAACTCGCGTAGCGTAGTCACTTTCAAACACTGGCTTAAATGGCAAAAATTACCAAATTAAAATTAAAATGGGTAATATGTATATTTAATTGTAATTTAATGAAATAAAATAAAGTCACTGGCGATATTAAAAAATAGTGAACGTGCTACCTGTACCTATCCGGAATGCTAAATCAATTAACATTCACAATATATGACCTAGTTATCTCTGCGCCCATTCAGATTAGATCTCTGTCACCAACATCTGGAAGTTCATATTTATAAATTTAATACAAAATAATGCCTGGGTATAATGTAAACAAATTCTCGTAACATTGACACTATCAAGTGCTCAACTTTGGTCATCAATATTCTATGAAAACTGGCATTGAATAGCAGAAATATAATGATTTTCTGTGTTACACGGTTAGTAGGGATAGTTTTAAATTATTTAGCAGAATAACTGACACTAATCCATGGTTAGTCTTTAAATTTTCATCGTAATTTTCCAAGTTAGATTGAAATTGTTCATTTTCTTTTCTATTGTTTGCCTAAAATATTTTATTAAGGAGGAAGGTATTTTAATCAATTTTATACATATAGGGACAGGTGTTCAAAAACGATACTGAATATTTTTACCGACTCCAAAAAAAGGAGGAGGCAAATGTTCGGCCGATTGTTTTTTTGTATGTTTACCTACTGATTACTCCGCCATTTATGAATCGATTTTAAAAATTTTTGTTTTGATGGAAAGTACCTACCTAAACTAGACAATAATGCAAACTGATAAGACTTACAAATAGGTAAGTACTTCAAAAATTTATCATCCCCTCTGTCTATTTTAGACATTGGTCCTACTTCCTACTTACTTTAAGACTACCTACCGCAGATATGTCGACTAGCTTACCTATTTAACTAAACAAAATTAAATACTCTCTATTTAAAAACAAACTCAGTTATATTTTCTCCTTCTGACATACCTACTTATATACTTCTTTCATTTTCTTTTTTTAAATTTCGATATCCATTCAAAATACCCTTAAAAAATAGCTCATTCCACCACTTTAGATACTAACTTAGATGTAGGAAGGTTACAACAAGTACTACTGTGAATTTGACCTCTACTACAAATTGCCGTGCCCTTGTTTAGTTTGATAGCGCTGCACTTACATTCTATATCTCAGTGCATTCACACAATAAGTGCATAAGGTCATTTTATTGGACTAAAGTTTTATCTCTACGTCTTGTGCGCAGTGATTTTTATCAGATCGAGCGAGTGTTACTTGTAAACAGGGTGGGTACCGTCTACCTACTGTTTGTTTGGTAGGGCTTCGTACGGCGTTGCTTGAAACGACTAGAGTAGGTACACTACCTGTGCTCGCTTACGGTGACGAAACTTGGTATATTTACAAAAGGAGATTCTCCAACAACTGAAAGAAGCTGGTAGGTGTTATCTACGCTGAGAGAGTGCAGATTACTCAAACAACAGAGTAAAGTGATGGATATCACTCAACCTAAGTATTGTGCAATTTTAGTGGGAAGTGGGCGGATCACGTAACATTACAAACAGGGTTCGTGACTCAAAATTTGAGAGAATAGCGATTACCTACACCTACACGAGTAACCCCAGACGAGCTGGTATGATGACATTAAACAAACAGCTGACATGAAATGGATGGAAACTGCTAAAGAGCAGAAAATAAAGAAGACCACACTGCACTGTGGCGATAGAAAAGGTCTAAAAAGGGTCTTAAAAACCCGCCAAGAGTGTAGCGGGCTACGCTCAGTGTACCTAGGGTTCCGTAGCACCACGTCTGTCACAATAAGTATCCCCATACGATTTAAAAAGTGATTGTTATTCTTAAATCCGAATCCAATTCAGCGTTAATAGCAATGGTACAGCGCCATCTCTTAGGGAATTAAGTTACCAATTAATACAAACTCGATGGGTTGGTAATATTGGAAACCGTACCTAAACCGATTTTAATAATTCTTTTTTTATTGGAAAGAATATACCTTCTTCTAAAATAATAGAACATATAAACAAAGTTTAAAAACAAAAACAGAGTTCTAAATAATTTTCCTAGAAAGAATGTAAGTAGGTACTATTCTACTTTCAAGACATTTTTCTACATTTTCTTAGGTACCATACCTTATGGTTCAAAAGTAGGAAAAGCAAAGGCAAGGCAAAGTAATAGAAGGGCGCTTTTTTTTAACTTTTGTAAACTCCAATTCGTTTTTAAATATCCGTCCAACAGTGTATGACAAGTTTAAAAATAGCACTCATTAGGTAGGTAGGTAAATTATCCGCGGACGGACAGGCAGACAGACAGACAAGTCGTGACATGGATTTGGTGAATAAATTACTTACCTATATAACATTACAAATTATAAATGGAATGTCGCAGTGGCCCGAAGGTTAGGCCTGCTTCTAATGCATGAGGTGGTTCAAAACATAGCAAGTTCCTACCGCACCTACCAATATGACAGTTACAGACTTAAATGTAGGTAGGTATTTTCTAAGTCCAGGGTAACATGACTCAAGTTTGAAACGGAGCAGGTAAGCGTGGCGATTATTGCTCAAACTTTCTCCGTTTGAGAAGAGGCCTTTGCCCTGCATCACTTATGGTCTGACGATGTGATGAAATCTCGATAGAGGAATATTTTTGTACCCACTTTAACAGTAAGGTGACACGCCAAACAAGCTATAAGTATGTATAGTGGCTAGCTTATACAAAATTCGTGTTGGTATCTTGAAATCGAACTAGTTCATGAACCTTGTAGCTAAGTTGGCGTGCAGTAGTGATCCGATGATATTATCTATTATAATTCGAAATAAACAACCAATCGCAAAATAATACGAAACGTAGTGTAACACGATCGGGTTGTTTGCTTCATGACGATAGGTATAATATATGACACATGATATGACCAAATAACAAATTCTAGACTTTACAAGTCTCGTATTGTACATGACACGATTGCTAAAAAGCAAAAATAATATTATCTGTAGCCTAGGTACCTATTTTTGTAGGTACCAGGTACCAGTGACGACATAAATACAACTCATATAATATCAGATTTAGGTATACGGTATATCTATAGCATTTTGTAGGTAAATTATAAAACCAGTTATCTATTAGTAGATACGAGCTTAGGTACCTACACCTTCCTATAAAATTCAGTCCTTGAATCGATCGCGAAGGCACATAGCGAGCTATATATAGGCAAGTCCTACCTACTTACGTGATGTTCTAGAAATCTAGAAACAAACTCGAACCAATGCATATTTCATATTATCGTTTTGCTTTCACTTTCGATTTCTGTCGGCACTATAAAATAATATACCTACCTAGTTAAACGCAATCGTGTCGAATTTACAATGAAAATCAAATTTGATATAAAAAACCACATTAAAATAAATGGGAATTTTACTTATCTAAGTATGTGTCGGTAAGTTCGAGAAATAAGCAATTGTATTTGATAATTGACACCTCATTTTTTGAAAATACGTACTTTGAGAAAATCTCTTACCATATGTACCTAGTTACTATACAAAAACAACCCCTGTGCTGCATCCAGCGATTATGTGCGTTAATTTTAAAGGTAAAATAATAAGAAAGGTTATATGAATAAAACACATTCAATTATAATCATATTCTCTTTATAATATAACTTTTCATGATTAAATAAACGTGGTTTCATGGTATTCGACTTGTAAATTGTTCTATCTATATATCTACGTGATTTATTAATTACAATAACATTTAAAATCTTCGCATACATTCGGAAATGACAATACTAATTTAACAATACGATCAACCCACTATGATCTGACAATGGTATTTTACATTTGATCAAATAAGTTATATCTTGATATTAGATTTTTTAGACAAAGACAAGCAAAACCAGCTAACTCATCAGTCCTTGTGAACCTGGCAATAACTCACCAATAAGAAAACACTGTTATTATCAACCCCGTTGATTGTAAATCAATTGAAATATACCTATTACTCAAATAGTCAATTGTTTTGTTGATTTAAAATAAATAAAATTTTTAATCAAAAGATTAGTATAATGCACATACTTATATATCAATATACATATACTTTGCAAAACATTCTATGGGGGAAAGTTTTTATAATTATGTTCAAAATCGATATTTCCATCTTCCAGTGAATCCTATGTTAAGTGGTGGACGTCATTTAGGTAGTTAATATAATAACAACATTGTCATTTTAATTAACCCCAAAAGAAATTACAACTTCCAAAATAGGTACCCGTTCATTGGCCTAAATAATATCTAATAATTAACACTTACTTCTTATGCACGTATTAGATAAATATCTACATATATTTATATTTACCATTCGAAAATAGAAATTAAAAGGTACATGAAATCACAATGAAATTAAAAATATTTATTGTATTTGTAAGAAAAAAAATATATAATAGGCACAATGTGAACGAAAAATAAATTATAAAACCAAACAATTTAATTACATATGTCTTACTGGTATTTATATAATCGGGTTTCAGGCAAGCACTGTAAAGAAAGTGCAAATCTTAAGGTAGTGTACTGTTTATGATTAAATGTCATATTCACACTTTACCTAGAAATTGTTTTTTTTATAATGTAGTGTTTTGTTTGTGTAAGATAAAAATTGCAATTGTAAACTTGTTATACATTAATGTAGTTCCTTTCATTAATTCTAAACATGTATTGGGCAGATTATATTAATATTTCTATAAATATGTTGCACAATGAACTTTCGAGTAACAGAACACTTTGCACCAATTGAATAAATTATAGCTATTTTTTATCTAAGTAAATATGTATGTTTGTAATATGTAGCAACATATAAGAGTGGACATATTGCATTGATGAGGCTGAATCGGCATTGTAAGGTATATTTTACTACTAACTAAGCAACAATCGTAAAAATAAGGCTACAACTATTACAGCCCTTTTCCACTATTTAGGTTGAATTGTTTTTATTCATATATACTATAATTATATTTATCAGACTAGTCTCTAACCTACAATTAATCCAAACGGTTTATAAGAGCACAAGTTATAAATCTGTAGGCTAGGCATCCGACGGAACTTACTTGCTACTTCGCTTGTCAGATAAGAGATAGGAAACATTTTATCATGAGAAAATACTTAACAGCAAACTGAAGAATACAATAACTTACACTTACTCTTAGAGCCTGTTTCACGTAATTTGTACGACCTATTTGTCACATCTATATAAGATTTTCGAATACGATGGTGAAACAGGCGCTTTATGATAATTGATCAACTTGTTTTTATAACTTTAATTGAGAATAATAAGGGATTAATGTTTTTACATTTAATTATTATGATCATTGGAAAGAGAAGAGATAGTTGGACAATAATATATTAATATCTAAATGTTAACTTTATTCAATGATGAATAATGAGAAGACGATGACCGATGCATAAGACACGCAATCGACTGATACCTGTCAGTCTATGACAAAAGCCATACAAATGTAAAGCCGTGCAAATTCCAGTACTGATCAAATTAAAATGAATCCTATTCCTAGGAAATAATTTGTATTTAATTAATGGGAGAAGGAGGCACATAATTTTTCGGAGATATGGACACTCAATTTAAATAGGGTTGAACTTACACTTGTCCCGAGGCGACCCTTTCACGTATAAATCTCAAGGAGACACGCCGTACAATATTACACCATTATTTATTTATTCAACATCCAAGAATCTGTTTTCAATTCTTCTATAGGCAATCAACATTGTTGGATAATGGTTCTCTCAATAAAATCGAGTACCTACCTAAAGCATAATGGACATTTTTAATGATCCGTATTCAATCGAAAATACCTATGTTCGATAACAAATGAGTCATTTGTGGTAATCAGTCAAAAACTCATTTGAAATTCTAACTTTATCAGAAAATATTAATAAGTAGGTATCTATGTGTTAGGACATACTAAGATAGTGTCAAGTTTTTCAATTGCCGAAAGGATATATTTGCAATACAATGCAAGAACCACGTTTCCCTTTATTTTACGAGTCAAGTGTTCTAGGAAGAGCCTAACGTCTTACACCGAAATTGTTGGAGCCGTTTCTGAGATAATGTGTTTCTATACCTACATAATTCTATACATATAAATGAATTTTCATTTAAAAGTATTAGATTAGAGTATCAGATAGATCAGAGATAAAAGTATCAGAATGTCATTTTCGTGGGTTGAATTTTATATGAATAAATATGGTAAATTAAATGAAAGAAATTTTTACCAAATCGTATTTATCGATATGGAAATACATTCTAATTGAACATTCCGCTCTGTAATAAACCAAATCACAAAAGGGTTAGAATAAACACGGTTCTCTTTAAATAAATTAGGAATACCAAATACATATTAGGAAATTCGTAAATAAATTAATGATTAAAGAGACAGGACACTGAATATTTAATTTACATAGAGAACAACTCGATGCCCATTATACGATACGTATTTTAGAATCAACAGTACGCTTTTGAAGGTATTCTTGTTTAATACTTCAAAATTGGTCCCACATCAATATGACATCTGTCTGGGTTCCGGGCATCGCATTGAACTGAATATAGAGTAAGTCATGCTGTATATAACTGATGAAGATTTTCCATAAATTTTTTAAGGCGATTAGAGATTAGCTTAATTTATAAAGATTATTAATGAGAACGGAAATGTTCAATAGTATGTTCAAAAAACTAAATTGACAAAGAGGTAGGCACTACTTAATAGTATAGAAAAATTAAAAGCTATCAATTTTGAGCAAAGAAATTGAAAAAATACATGTTGTATTCTAATAATTAATACAAATTGACAAGGAATAGGAATTGTGCGAAATGATTTATTTTATATAGTTCGACATGTACTATCGATCGAACTTGGTATAAAAATACATACCAGTTAAAAATATCAATAAGCATCCATGTTGAGTAGGTAAGCAGTTCACTAAATGCAAGCTGTGAATTTCCAAGTCCAATATGATTTTCTTTATAATACTAGGTGAGTCCTAGGTGTCAAATATTAAATTTAATCATTTACAATCTAATTTTAGAATCTCCGGCAAATCAGTGGACTGTGAATAATTATTAACTTCGCAAAGGCTTATTCAGCGGCAGTGTCAGTAATTTACCTTTAAGACACACGCAATACAGGCAAAGATAAGTTACTTTACTATGGCTACTACTATGTAACAGTGCTCAGCGATAAACATTGCATATAAAATTTTTGGGAAAATGACAGCCTTTTATTATTCTTCCAACGCTTGATATGCAATATTTGAAGCCGGGTTCTGTATCACTGCGGCAGTAATAAACAGTCTAGCTAGGAATTCCATCAAAATTATTGTCAAGATACCCAGATAAACAAGTAATATCTGCCTTAGTCATTATGGAGAATCTATGAAACTATTGAATATACTTATTTAAATTGTTTCGGCGATATTAACATTTCTTTAAAAAAGTTGAACACTCAAATCGGACTCGTGGTTTCCAACGAGGAAGAAATTATCACCATTGGTCTTAAATTTTGTAGAACATATTAATTATTATGTAGGTAATTAAGTTTATTTATTTATGTATATATTAGTTTTGATCCAAACATAATTATATTTTTGGTGACTGAATATAGTCTCAAGGAATTGACTTACGACTTACGCTACCATATTTTGCTGACCAGTATTTTGGTAATCAGGCCAAAAATTTATAGAGGCGCTATAAGATAAAATGTGTAAACATCAACATAAGCATCAGTCGGAAAATCATTGGAGTCTTATGGACAGTACCTACATAGTCTAGTCGTGCGCAAAATCTAACTTCAAATTGTACTTAGGCATTTTTTTTGTTATTTATGTACGACATGCGACTCTTTGAACCATCAATATTATGCTAAATGCAAAAAAATCAAACAAATTAATTACCCCACATGAGATATAAGGCAATTAATTTATCCATATAATAGGTATAGATATGATATAGACGGCCCCGAAATCGAGCAACACAGTGTAAAACCGTGACACGGTAGTCTAATTTCAGTATACCTACTACTATAAATTTAGACTGTAAACAATAAAATAAAGCTTTTATTGTTGATTACACTGTATTACGCCATTTTGGTACCTTGTGGAACAGCAGCACAAAGAACACTAGTCCAAAAGGAGCTTTTAACATGCTCCAGTTTCCGGGTAACCCGTGCTGACCCGACGTGCACGGCCATGTGCATGCGTTAATATTCGCCGCCGGATGCCCGGCACTAATTACCCGGCAACCAGAGCTTGTGAAAAGACACTAACGCATTGTTATTACTGATTAAACCTATCATTCTTAAAATTATCGAGTTTTTGATTTATTGTTGATGATTCGTCCCTTTTTCTAAAGATTTTAAGCCTGATTTGAGTAGCGGTTTATAGACAAAAGCCCAAGGCAAGAACAAGACAAATCCTGAGTAGTATAAACTGTGGTATATGGACCACCATTTCGAAAAACTCTTGGCGTCAAATGGCGCCAAACTCCAGCCCATAAACACTATAGTGTAAGTTTTAAGAATAATGTACAATAGATACTTGAGGATTGTGTTATCCCACATCTTATGATAGAACTGTGTTTTGGTCAGCATAACTTCGACATCTTTCTCCATCACCATGATAATGAATTCATTGAAGAATGTCATGTAATATCCAGACTGTGTGCCGTGCCACAGTGCAAGGAACGCGAGCGTGATTAGCTGGCTGAGGTTGCGGTTACCGAGGAAGCGGAGTCGTTTGTACACGTATTCGGCAGCGAAGTAGTTGGTGTTGCAGTTGAAGCTGTCGATGTAGTGCTGGAACCTGGTGGCGCCCTCGAACCGCAGCAGCTTGATGTTGTTGCAGCCATCCCACTTGCTCACCTGAGGGTAACGTTTGGTCTCCACTCCGTTGTAAGATAGCCCAAATCGTATGCACGATGCTGTAACAAAAGCCGTTCATACTAAACACTTAGACTCTTATTCTTAGTAGCCAGCGTCAACATTATGAATTTGGTAAGTATTACTGAATCACTCAATTGATTGGGATGCAATAAAATGTTAGCCGGTAGACATGTGCCACCAAGAACAATATCAATTGCTGTAATTTAACTAATTTATGCCAAGTGAAATGACCTCAGTGCACTCTTTGCCTCATTTAGGTAGGTAGATACATACATTTTAAAACTGCATTAGTAACTATCTAGCGCTTCGATTGTTCCAGCCTTGTATTGTTTTGAAATCGGAGTAAGAGGTTTATTGTTAAGTATGTTAAATAAATTGATTTGCATTTTCTACGAGGCACAAATCTATTTGGTGACTGTTGTATTTGTTATCAGTAGATAATTACGTAATCAATAACAAAATCGGAGTGTCATTAACCTAAAATTACTCATAATTTTATACTTATTGATGTTATCTAGGTCACATGTTGAAATATTTGGTATAGAACAGAACTAACATAGATATGTTCCACGATAAGAATAATAATAGTTAATTTATTTACCTTCAGTGAGCAGCCAGCAGGAAATGTATTTGTATAAAGCAAAATGAGCCCAAAGTCCACAGTAGAAGTGACGATAGAATACGGAAGTTTCCCTAAATTCGTCGGACATCATATACTTCATACTGAAGACAGTAACTGAAACAAACACCATGTTGTTTTAAATTCTATAACTCTTGAAAACTTCTGTTTAATGTAATCAAATTTCATTATTTCGATTCTGTATAATAAATGCCTAGAGATCCCGCCTTACCTCCAACTTGATAAGCAATCAAATATACCAATCCTTGAATAAGCCGCTTGATGGCTTGAGCTTCATAAACGTCTTTTTCTTTATCCAAAGGAAATTTGTCGGTGATATAGTCTTTATAACGCCTGAACGAAAACATAGGGCCGACTAAGAAACACGCTGGGAAGTATACAAAACCAATCAGCTCCAAAAATGTAGGTGAACTCTCAAGGGCTGTGAGCTTATTGTTTGCTGACAATTCCTGTCCTTTTAACATCTTCTTTCCATCCCATAAGTCAAAGGATAAAGCAATCAACTTCAGGGTCAGCACGCAGTGGGGCATGGTCCAAGTTATATCATAATCTTCCGACTCGGTCACCACATAGCCGGCAACCAGGTACGTCATGTTGAATGCAAAAGTGATTATCGTGTTATTCTTTCCTGGGCCGAGGAACTTGGTCGTTAGATAAATTACTATAGCTGGTATGGCGTTGTGGTACATGGAGAAACCAAAGTTATAATAAGCCATGTCTAACCCTGTTGCTATGAAATACAGATTCCTGTATTCAACATGCTGCCGTACATGCTTGTGATAAACAATTGCAAGTGGGTATGCTAACAATATCGATATCAATAGCTTAAGTGCTGGTTCAGTGGCCCCAAGAACTCCAGCCAGGAAGGGCACTGGGCTTAACCCTACCCAGCCCAGCAATGTGAGCAGCAAGCCAAACATTGTTGTCGAATCTGTAAACAAAGATAAATTATACTGTAGAATATCAAGTCAAGAGATCAAAGCATGTTTCAGGGTCAGTTCACACCCAGAAGAGACGCGACGCGCAGTTGCGCGTACACTGAAGAACTAAGGACACTACTTAAAATACAACTTTATTTTCTATGCGAAAAGATACTTTATTGTAAAGCTTCAGAATGCGTTGCGCAGCGGCTAGTGATGTGCAAACGACGCGGCGACGACGATGCGTACGCCAAGATATAATGCCACGTCGCGAGACGCTGGGGCGGTTTCTCTCCTATTTTCGTTAAGTAGTGAAATTAAAAATTCATATGAGTGGTCTGGGAGCTTATTATAATTGCACCGTTGAAGAGAAAGAGCAATAAAAAACACAAAAAGTGGGTATGTAAAAACTTCCCTTAGCGTCGTGAATGTTTGTTGGGGCGTTTCATGACGTCACGCCTTGGTGTGAACTGACCGGTCGTGTTTGTATGACTAGATGCAGCAATGAAATTAAAGTTAAAGAAATACCTACTCAAGATTCACAGTAACACTGTAGATTCAGGTTCAACCTATCGCCAAGGAATAAATAAGTGTGGATCAAACTTAAAGATAATTATAGGAAAAAAGAATTCTCTCTCCACCACAGATTCTAAGAATTTCAAACACACAAATACATCAATCACAAATATATCATCACAACTGTTAAAATAGTTGAATCATTTGTTTTCTTTCATACATATGATAAGATTGAGAAGTAATAAAATGGGTTTATTCATATTACTCATAATTTTATATGACAAAGTAAAATTAGTTGCACCTTAGACTTTGACATGGACTACTTAGTTCTACTATTAAACTTAAAGATTTATTTATAGCACAAGAAGTGCTTTAAACTCAAGAAATAGAGACAGCTTATATTCGATAGTATGTAAGTTTTCATTAAAGTAAAATTATTGTACTTTAATGAAAACTTACATACTATCGAAAAATAGGGTTTTCTTCTATAAATATATATTTATGAACTTGTGCAAGTAAAGTTAATAATTACAAATTCAGACATCATTACTATTCATATTGCAATAAGTTTCACCTACTCTAATTGTATGCATAATTCATTTTTATAATAAGATGTACCTATTTACTGGAAACTATTTCATACTAATTTTGTTTTTAACCTTTCAATTGTTGTAATTCGAGACACACTACAAAAACAATAGGTGCACAAAGGTTTGATGTATTAAACTAGCATTGTTATTACTAAAGTAATATTATTTTAAGGATAAATAATATTTGTTTATACAACACCAACATCTTAACTATATATGAACTCAAAATACTATCACTGTTCAAGATGAACTGCACAGTACACAGTTTTATCTATCTAGAATTTGAGATAAACAAAGTACAACTAACAGTCAAACCATGATAAGACAAGTCTTTCTAAATGACAAAGTTTAGTACTTGTAAACTGGTGATAAATCAAAAATATATAAAAGTTACTCATAGCAGATATAAAGGAAACAATAATTGATCAAGATCGCCGAGAATGAACAATATCCTACACCAAACCTTGGGGCACACAGACTTTAATAGGTATTATAGGATAACAAGGCCAGAGATGTCAGCTGGATTGACTGAAAACAAACCAATTTGCACATACCTGGCGTAGCTCGACATTATTGGTTAAGTGCATTTGAATAGGGTACAATCTTACACGACAGATACAGCTGGAGAACTGCATTCCAATCACAATAGTATAATAGGTGTCAAATGTGCCTACCCTACTGGATTATTCAAAGTCATATATCTAAGGCAGGCATTAAACCTATGTCAAATGGTGCTGGTTTTTTGAAAAGGTTTGCATTTCAAAATTGGCAATAAGTAGAATATACAAACCAGTTTTGTCTACATGGAAAGAGAATTTCTTTGAGTATTAAGCCATACTATTATTTACACACAAAGATTAAATGTTCGCATTGCTAACATTATATTCAAATTAGAAATGCAAAAGCAGTTTAATGGTTCTTATTTGTAGAAGTTTGTATTTTAAATTACTTGCATATTTATAAAAACTTTATGCTGTATTATGTTTAATACATGAAGTAAGCAAGCATGAAGCCTTAATACATAGCTGAGGTTTAATTATAAAATTCGGGCCTCCAATGTGATGACTGTGTATAATTTGTAATTGCATAATTATTGTGTAGGTACAGCAAATCTACAGAAGGCAAACTTAGTAGGCAATAAAGAATTTTCTTCACTAAAGGCATTTTTTTATTGTTGGTATAAAATTTGGCAAATCGTGTTTGGATAAAAAGGTTTTTTTTGCACTCCTTACAAGACCTTGTCAAATCCGTTTTAGGAAAATGAAATTTTTTGACTTAAAAATATTGATTTCTGTTTATTTTGATGCATCCATACTTATTATTCATGCAATCTAGATGACTTAACATACTGACTTCATATAGCCTCAGCTCAACAACAAAGATTGGAGGTTGACGTAAAAATATAGAAATCGCGTAGAGCGATGATACACAATAAATTTAAAAGGCAAGGTTGTGCTATAGTATATTTAAACAAGTCCGCAGTTATATCTGAACTAAAAATACTTACATCTATGTATGTAATCAGCAAGTATTCCGTAGACTTCGTATAATGCAACAACGACCACGGCGACTACCAATGTAACGTTACCTTAGCACAATTACACGAAAAATTGAAGATTTCTGTTCCCTGACCAAAGAGCATAGACAGAATCTATTTCTGACAACTACATGACATGATGATATGACAGACTTTCTTATGTGGCCATAGACCATATTTGGATTTATAAAGTAGCAATGGACCATGCGTGCAAGGTTGACGGTTCCGTCAAACAAAATAGAGTCGTTGTCTTCCAAAAGACTTCTCTGAAAAAGAATGCGTATGAAATGGTCATCTTTCAGATTTGGATTCCCAAATCGTGTAAAACCCAATATATCCGTTCCAACACGAGGTCACTCCCGGCCGATCGTGATTGTCGAAAATGTGTGCCACGCCATTTGAATTGGGTTCGAATGTAAAAGGGTAAAACCGTGTCCATTTTCTTTAATATCCAAATCGAGCAAGTACTATTAAGAAATCAACTGAATGAGTCTATGGCGGTGTGTCTGTCAGTGACAGACTGACATTTCTCTTTGGTGAGTGAATATTGATTTCGGAACAAAGAGTATAGCTGTTTTAATAAGTATGTTTTGGGACTTTTGTCGGTACCGGTGAAGGATACGCACGTGCTTTTATCGATAATACAATTGTTGTTTAAATTTAGTGATACTATTCATAGTGACCTAAATTCAAACCACTCACGTTTTGGGTTGTTTTATTGTTTTTGTGTCTCAGAAAGGTGATTAGGCTATTTTTAATTTTAACACTTGTTTGCTCGCACTTTCTAATTTCATTTCCTCAAATTGCACTTCAGGAAGCCTGCGACACTCCCATCCCATCTCCACATATCGTTGAACTATAAACCTATTTTAATAATTTTGCTTGCCTATGACAATACAGACTGATCCCGTAACTCCGCATCATTCAATAATTAACGTTTCAAAAGTAAGCAAGTAAGCAGGCAATAGTAACTAGTGCTAAGTGCTACAACATTTTGCTAGTGATATAGCCTAGCCCTCATGTTGTATTTGGTGTGGGAGAGCCATGCTTCAGCACGAATGGTTCGCCTTGGCTGGAGTGATACCACGGCCTTACTAAAAACTGGCATGACACCAACACAGTATTGTGTTGGCAACACTTTTGTAAATCCACTGTGGTTGCCCATGGAAGGTGCTGATTGCTTATCAGCTCAGCTAGCAGAAATGTCTGCTCGTTTGGAGTCCAATAACATAAAAAAAATACATATCTCCCCTACTCTCAAGTACCATTTCCAGTCCTGCAAAATTTGGCAAGTTCAATTATAATTGCAATGAACTCCAGTATGTTGATGATATTGCATCAATGACCAATGACCAATGCGTCTTTGTCCTCATTACACAAATGACTTTATAATCATGGTTTATCTTTAACAATCCCTAAAGACTTAGCTGCCATTATATAGCTATATCAGTTAAGAATACAGCTACACTCTTGATTGTTACCCTTGGTTTAGGAATGTTGGGTATGGGTCACATGGATAATTTAGATAATGGTGGGAAATGTTCATTCTCTACTCAGAGCTCTGGTTGGGCATCTCAGGTGCTCATCCCTAAAAGCTTTTTATTTATTTTATATTATTAATTGGTTTTATTGCTGAATAAAATGAATTAATTATCCAGTTTCTGATTATTTAGGGAGAAAAAATATTTGCTTCTTAAAAAGTTGTTCCTTTTTTTCTCAGGTTGAATATTCAATATGGAGTCTGCAGGTGACTGGTGTCTTATAGAAAGTGACCCGGGAGTTTTTACACAACTCATCAGAAAGTTTGGTAAGTTTGAATTTGCTGGTGTTTGTTCATTTATTTGGCATTAACATTCAATGCATATTTTTAAGAAATCCCTGTTTAGAATCCATCTAATCAAATTTGACTTTTATTACATTTATGACAGACAGTTTTTTTTTAAATGTATTTTTTATAAATTAATGCAAATGCTAGTGTAAACTTAAAAAAAAGGGAGTTGGCACTTTAATGAGAATGTTTATTCTGTACTGTACAAACCACTTATGGTTGAAAATATAACATAATTTGCTTTTTTCCCATTAGGTGCCAGTGGTGTTCAAGTAGAGGAACTTTGGACAATTGAAGATGGCATCTTTGAAACTCTTAGGTATGTTTGTTAGACATGCTGACCACTCATACAATCTTCTCATTTATTTAATTTGTTCATTGATGGCTGGGTATCAAACTTGTAGATGGCTGAATATCGAACTTGTAGTATTTAACTACAATATTGGCAAAAATAGTTAATAAGCTTCTTTTTCAAAATGAGTTGACATCCTTGTACAGTCAGCGTCAAATATATAGGGACATTCCGGATACTCAATTATATAGACTCAAATTAACAAAATATCAGTACAACAAAATAAAAGTCACCATTAGATTGGTTTGCTCAAGCGTCATAAATAACGCGATTGTTTAATTGTAATTGTATAGTTAAACAATCAATGGTATTAATACAAACAAATAATTATTATAGTTGAGTTGAAAAATCTCATTAGTCTGCTTATAATTTAAGATTATACATATGTTTACAGACCTGTACATGGACTGATATTTCTGTTCAAATACCTACAACATGAAGAACCAGCTGGTCCAATTGTGACTGACAGTCGTCTTGACAAGATTTACTTTGCCAAACAGGTGAATAGTATTTACAAATTACTTATTGTATTTTAGATATGTTTTGATATTATTCTTTGAAGCAATGATAGTTATGGATTCTATTTAACAACACATTGTTAAATATTTAATATTTATACTTAGATTACTCTATGTTTCTATTCCAATAACAACTTGCTCTAATGTATTTTAATATTTTTTTAGGTTATAAATAATGCCTGTGCTACACAAGCAGTAATTAGTCTGCTCTTGAACTGCGATCATCCTGATGTTGACTTGGGTCCAGAGCTGAGCAGTTTAAAGGAGTTCAGTATGTCTTTCGATGCTAAGATGCGCGGCCTGACACTTAGCAACTCTCAGACTATTCGCAGTGCTCACAACTCTATGGCACAACAAACTCTTTTTGAGTTCGACCCAAAAACAGCTTCAAAGGTACGTTTTTCTGTAATTCAGTCAAAAATTCTGTTTTTTTCTAAAGTTTTGTAAGTATTAAAATAAACGATTGACCGTGTTTATTTTCTTCAATCAGTTTCACCCAGCAAAAACTTATTTGCTTATAAGACGGTGTTAATTTTTCAAAATAATTCAAAATGGCTTTGTTTCAGGATGACGAAGCGTATCACTTCGTTGGCTACATGCCAATTGACGGGCGCCTCTACGAGTTGGATGGCCTTCGTGAAGGTCCCATTGACCACGGCCCCATTGCTCCAGAGCAGGACTGGCTAGATGTAGTCCGGCCAATTATAGTGCGCAGGATTAACGTGTATGTATAAAACATTTTGTCTAAGAAATTAGTTAATCTGAGTACCGATTAATAATCCGGTTTAAAGGAATTTGTTACTTCTACAGCAAAGCGATTTGTGTTTCAGGTACACTGAGGGCGAGATTCACTTCAACCTCATGGCTCTTGTGTCTGACAGGAAGATGATATATGAGAGACAGCTCCAAGACCTACTGGCCGAATCTCAGATGATGGGGATGGAAACTGATGAGATGGAAAACGAAATACCAAGACTGAGAATGTTGATTGAGTACGAAGATGTAAAAATGATGAAGTATAAACAGGAAATGGCTCGTAGGAGGCATAATTACTTGCCATTCATCATCACGCTTCTTAGAATATTAGCAGAAGAGAAAAAGCTGCTGCCACTGCTCGAGAATGCTAAGGAGCGTGCTAATAAAAAGGGCCCGAAGAAGCAAAAAGTATAACATTTGCATGGGGCTGGACAGCGGGTAGAACGCGCGCGAAGTTCGCGGCGTGACTCGCAGTCCAGCCCCTCGCGCGTGTTGCCCGCCGCCGAACATTACTCCCTTGCAGATTTAGACGCCATATATAGAGAGCCCCAAGATTTATTACTTAATATAGAACCACAGCAGATTTTGGAACAAGCGATGGTGGAATCCCATGAGGTGTTAGACCGATCCATTTTCGCGCATGCGGTGACGCGCAATAATCACGTTTTGGACTCTGATGATAGTAAAGACTTTTTGGGTGATTCGACTTCGCAAACTGGTTTAATATCTGACAACATTGAAACTGAAGACATGGAACTAGACACGGACATCGCGCAAGAAATCGATCCTCTGTTGGACGTGAAGCCACCCGAACCTGATTTTGAGACAGACTAAAGACTTGCCAGTAGGCAGTGTTAGTTTAGTGCTTCGAAAATAAGTGGTAAAAAAAAATACATCGACAAACGTTACTTAGTAATAATTTAGTGTCGTTGTTATGTGCATTCGGCTAAAACTTGCGTGCTATGTATATAAGAAAAGCTTTACAAAATTGTAATGTATCTATATATTTATCAAGGTACAAATTATAAGTCTGGGGTATTAATGTATTTGGTTAAAATAAAACTGCATAATTAAAAATACGTACATTTATTTACTAACAGTATTCGTGTATGTAACTTATAACTGAGCACAGTTCACGCCAAGCAATGACTCAAGAACAATACAGAATCGTAGGCATAAGTAGGTAGGATTGTCACTGAGCATTGCTTGATAGTATCTTAATCTATGTAGTGGGCATTTGTTAGTAACAAGCTACAGAGTCGTAGAGTATAATATCTTTACATAGTTGTGCAAGTTATTTGATGTTTAGTATCTAACATTCATGTAATTTGTCTTCATAAATACATAATATTATAAATAGTGTACTGTTTACTCCAAATTGTTGCTACGTAGGTAGATATCAGGTACATGGTATGTGCTACTGGTTAATTACAGCAATGTGCTAGTAGTATACATTTATAACAATGTTGTTAAAATAATAAAATAAAGCATACTATAATAATGTTATATTTCAAAAGTGCATTTATTTAATACATTTAAAGACAAAATCAATTTATTCTCGCTAACTCCGAGCTGTAATATTATTATGTTACACATAAGTATTGTTGTCATTTTGTTTGCTTCTTACAGACCGCTGCGTAATAGTAATAATTATTTACACCTTATTACAAAATTTACTTATATCTACATTATAAACCTAATTAACGAAAGATTTTTATGTATCAAGTTTACATGAGTAATAAATTAATGAATTTGGGGTGTGATGTGGCACTTCAAACGTAGGCTAGCATCTGTTATTTACATCGGGGTACATTCTACCGGTAAAATGGCGAAGATGCGGTGACATTGGCATGACGATGATTTACGAGTAGTTATTTACAGAGATAGGTACAATATTGAGCTTAGCTGCCTGCTATGTTCGATGTCATTACATGGATTCGGAAAGCAATCCTGTCGACTTGACTAATTACATATATTTGTACGACCGTTGGATTTGAGTCGAATAATTATCGTTGGACAGTATCACAGATTAGTTGCTTCAGTTCAATTTCGACTAAAACGTATTCCTGGGCGATGCTTTAGGAGTTATCGTTATAGTTTGTAAGTCGAATCCAGGTAATGAGTGAACAGAGGCTGGATAAGTTTTGTAGTGTGGCGTCGTCACTGGGACGCGCTTCACGTGTTGGGCAGCAAGCCTTTAGGTTTTATCATCATGGAAGCACGCTTCAGTGTGTAGTCCCAGCCTCGCCAGCGGAACCACACGATGCCTGCAACACATACAATTGTTAAGTCAGGTTTACTAGCCCGTATCATCATTTAGAGCAGAGAGTAATAGTTTTGGTTAGATAATTATTCTAATAATGTGTATAGTTATGGTAAAAAGTATGTATTGATATAATATATTGCTCTTGTTTGTTACCTTGTCTAGCAGTGAGGTCCTGTGGGTCGTGCAAATAGAGGCCGTTCAGACCTCGGCCGCATGATTTCCACCACCACCCTCCCTTGAGCATAGACGCACAATTCAGCGACGATCTGTCGTTGTCCCTGTGAAGAGCACAATATATTTTTATAAAGGTTATAATTTTATTTGGTGACATCCACATAGCCTTCTTGTGTTAGATACCTAATCTAAAATGTAGCTATTATTGTATGGCTAGAAATTATAACATTTTTCTCTACATAATATTAAATTTAGTCAATTACGGCGTATACTATACGTATAAAAAAAGACTAATGAATTAATTCTACAATACTTATTATGTACGACTTTTGTGAAGGTATGTTTATATATTTTGTAAGTACCTACTCTTCTTTGTCTAATTTTACTTGTTATATTGGAAATATCCGATAGTCATGTCAAGTGTTCCAGTATCATCGACACAAATCTTGTACACTTTTAAAAAATTATGGTATTTTCGTATTTCATTTATTATGTCTAAACATGTACCTATTCTATCTATATACATATGTACATTTATTCTTGCACAAGCTAAGCTAATACAATTTTATTAAATGCCTAAATTGATTTATTTATTTACTTGCAAAGTAGCTGTACCTACTTATACGATTTAGATGTATGCTCTTTAGTTAGTTAGGGTCGACCAGAGTGATAACCGGCTTCAAAGCCGTCGTGACCTGAAATAACGCTTATTTTGCGATTCGCAGTGAGAGTGAAGATATCAGAGCTCCGGTATTTCGAGTGCTCATAGGAGGCACCGATTGCTTACCAGCTGCGATCTATGTTGTTATCCAAAAAATATAAGTATATCAAAACCAAGGTACATTACCTGTTGTAAGTAGAGAAGGGGCTGTTGTTCGAGCCATACCAGGGGTCGTTGAGGGAGTCACCAGCATTGCCCTCATAACCATCTATCTCTAGCTTATAGTATTCCGCTTCAGAGTATATCTTGAAGTGCGAATACTGTGCGTACCTGTGCAGTAGTACAACATTGTTAAATTTTAGATAATTTATTATTAACGGTCCGCGAGAGTTATTAGCCTCTTCAACTAAAAAGAGGTTTGATATAATTACACCTGCGCGGGACGAAAAAGGGGAAGAGTAGGTGCAGTCACAAACTGCAGCCACTCGGAGTATACTTGCACAAAAGGTAGTAAAGTTTGTACTTCTATAAATCGTGACTCTAGAACATTTTAGATTGATACCTTAGGACATGATGTCATATAAAGAAGTGATCGTCATCGATCTATTCTCGCAATCGGCAATTTGAAGCACTATTTGCTTATTAGGTTAATGTCGTACTCAATCAAGTGTATAGTGACGACAAAGCAGGTGATAAAATTAAGTAAGTATGTTCACCTACGCAACACCTACGATGTTACAAATTATTAAACGTTGGAATCACCACCAGCGAATCTTAATATTGTCGGTACCAAGATGTTTATTAAGATACCTAACTACCTAACACTTCATACTAGTAAATTTGGGCCAAAATATGGCGAAGAAGTACCTAATACAGAGTGACGTGGTTCCATGAGCCAGTTTTTCTGTGTCAGCAGCTTACCTCTTATTGCCGTCGAAGTCTTCAAGTTCTACTCTAAGCATGTAGTCGTCGTTGTTAGTCAACATGTAGATGTTTTCGTTACCCAACCAAAATTCTTTGCTAGGGTCACCGAACCCGTTCTTGTAATCATTCCAATCTCGGTTGAAGTTCTCCGCGGGGACGCCGTAGTCGTCACGTCGGTGTATCACCTGATCAACAAGACAATAGAGATTAATCCTCAATTGATACTTTGTTAAGAACTTGCTCTTCATTTTGTGGGCCTCGCAACATATGAAGGTATGCATGCAAAGTGGGCATTACGTTATAGTATAAGCATAGTAAGTATAAGTAAGTATATGCAGGAATACCAAGTAGTTATTTATTATGGACATCTTTGTCTAATATTTTCGGATTTATTTGGCGTTATGAATATGTTATGTTTGATGGAAGCTTTAGTGCTTATTCGACAGTTTACCAATATTATTAACATTGCATTGTGTCTAGCATGGTTTTGTGGTCTTCGAAAACTTCGAAAAGGAAGGGTTGCGTAGCTAGCCTTCGAAAGAAAATATTTAAGAAAAGCAAAAAGATCATGAAACCCACAGGCTTATACAGTAGGTACCTACAAGACATGCAAAAGTGTAAGTAGGTAGGTACACTAAAAATAGTAACCGCTTATTGTATCTCTCTCATTTTGCATGACTTTCAGTGTAATAAATAACACAGGCAGATTTAATTTGAACTTGGTTTTATACAGTTAGGTACCTAGGTACATATTTAATAAAAATAAAAATTTGCCTAGTAAATTTTTGCGAGTTTTTGCGTAACATCAGGTGATCCATTGATACGTTTGACGATCTATTTTAAATAAATAATGTGATGTATTTTAGGGTGGAATATTTGAGTGTAATGGCACGGTTGATGCAGTGGCTGAGAAACCGGCTGTGTACAATGTGTCGCAGGAGCGAAATCCGCGTAGGTAATTTGCGCTCAAAAATATTTTTTTAATTAAGTAGGTACTAGGCAAGTTTACTCTATCCACTTTATATTTTGATATAAGGTAAAAATCGATCGGTTTTTAAAGGAGGTTTAAATAGATTGCATTATTAAGACATACCTATACTTAGATAAGCAGATATGATAGCTGGTAGACTTGATTGCCTGTATATGTATCGACTAGCTACTCCCACGCGGTTTCACCCGCCGCTCGGCACGATTTGATCGTTAGCATGATGTTTTATGGCCTACAGCACTCAGGAACATCGTAGCCATCTATCTATGAGTGAAAGAATTTTGGCAATCCAACCAGAGCGGTTCCAAATATTACCCCCTACATACAAACTTACAAACATACAAACTTATACAAATTTTACCTCTTTACTTATAAAAAAATAATATTAGTATACATGAATTACTGTTTACATGAGTATTGATACCCTCGATTCATGGGTCTGGCAACAGACTCAAGCAATACGTAGTTAATGTTTCTGTATTTTTATATTGAACTATCTTCCGTCCTCGGCTTCGCACGCGTAGGTATAAAACAGTAGCGTTTAAAGCGATAGCTCGACTAAAATACGCAAATTGAGTAGGTACAATTTGTAGCCATCCGGAACATTGTATCTATCTATCCGACCAGGGGATTCCGAAGATTAGGCCCGCCTAGTGCGCTAACTGTGTACCTACATAAGTACCTCCCCCCTTTCTTTCTTTCTTCTTATAATTCCCAAATAATAGAAAATAATCCTACTATTGCTTCTATAAAAATACCCGTACATACAAACTTACAAATGTTTAATTGTACTTAATATTAGTAATTATCTACCTATAGACTATGCAGGTATCTATTAGGTACCTACACAAGGATAAAATTGTTAAATAAACCCTCGCTTCATTGTAATTTTCTGAAGGTATTTATTATAAGAAAATAAAAAGTTTGTTCAATGAGCAATTAGTTTTTTAATTAAGTAGTCACTGTATATAATCTCATTGCAGTTTCTATTGTTATAAAAATTAAGGAAGTATACATATCTAAGTACTTATATTCACATGGTCAGGTACCCACCAGGTACGTTTGTGAAGACCCCAACCTATCCATTGTCAACCATCAACACATTCAAACATTAATTTGATGCATCCTTGGGTAAAAATATTTGTTGAAAACATAACTTTAGTATTTGTTCTTCACCACCAACCACCATCAATGGTTCAAATAACCTAGAGTGGATTTAAAGTAGGTATTGAGAGTGTGTCATGAAGTCAACAAAGTTATTTCAGTCTACCAAATAATAAGAAACAGTAACTAAGTATTGTTACACTAAATGTTATGGGCTTATGGGTTAAATATAGCAATATCTTTTGTAACTATTGACAGGCTTAGTAGCCGTACGGGTAAGGTACATTTAGAAATCATAAACTGATAGGTAATGATAAAGTCTTATATTGTCTGTTTTATTACACTCAAATACACAATAATATCAATTTAAATTAAAAAAAAACCCGACACATAAAACATAAGCTTCCCTTAATAAGTAAAAATTTTTTAATGTACAAGTAATGCGCTTTCATTTGAGACCCCAATGGACCATATTTTATTTATAGACATTCGGTAATTCTTCCCCACTTTCACCCTCCACAAATTTTATATGGCTCAAATGACTATCAAACATGTCTAAGAAAACTCGCACGTAAGTAATCTTTGTTAAGAAAAAAAACTTAATTGAAATCGGTTCATTCGTTCAGGAGCTATGATGCCACAGACAGACAGACACGTCAAACTTATAACACCCCTCTTTTTCCGTCGGGGTCAAAAGGGCCGGAACCACAGAAATCTTATATCTATGGCCGGAACTGATGCCCAATCGAACTAACGTAATGCAACTAATGCTCGCTTACTGTAATACACGTTTTTTATGTATTTCGCTGCGCGTCGATGTCAGCATAAAACTAATACTACTACAATGTACGGCTTTGCTCGTACAGTAGCCAAACACTAATTATTGCTTTCATATCTGAAAAGGTACCAGGTAACTGTGAGCACCAAAAAGTTTAATATTAATTTAGTTAGCAATAATCCCAGAAGAGCAAGATGATAAGTCAAGGTAATATTTATTAGGAAAGTTTATCCGTTATCGCGTCGGATTTCGAAAACTACATGATCACATAGTTTTACGAATGTTTCGAAAGCGCCACTAGAACTGCCTCTCAACAAGGGCATATTTGTCGAGGCATCAAGTGGCACTTCACTAGAGAAAGGTTTACTTGGGTAACAGTGTGCAACTTACCGTCCAGCCTCCGTCAGCAACGTTCTGCTCACAGTAGACCTTCAGGAACCAGTAGGTAGTGCCTCTAATCTGCAGGTAGTATACTCCAGACTCACGCATGCCGCCGTTCATCAGGTCCACGCACGAGTACCCCTGGAAAAACATCAAACGCCATTATAGATACGCCCTAAACACACGATTTACTCATTGGCTCATAGCATGTAAGCACAGCATTTATTAGGTAAGATCGCTGCATTAATTTTAGCTATCTCAATTTTGCGGAAATGATCAGCAGTGCGCCCCGTACTCGCTTTAAATAAATGTAAATGTGCAACGCCTTATAACATTCTATTCGCATAGGCGTATATTATATTCGCGATGCCTTCAGAATGATAACTCACATATTTCAATGTGCATAATAAAGAATAACCGTTTGAATGGCACGAGGCGTGTACAAAACCTTTAGTACCTACTCAAACAATGCCATCAATTTTAATGCAACGTTATGTATATCGTTACGCAATATTAATAACTTTCTTTCCCTTTTGGTTTTACAGGGAGATTGATTACGATATCAACAGGCCAGTTTGGAACTTTCTCAAAATAATTGCCATTTGTCTAAGTTTCGTTTTCTTTCATTATTTGTCGTTATTGTAAGCATTTTTCCATTTATCGTCTCGAACAGACATGCTTGTCTTAGAAGTAGGTACCGATTACCGACCTACTCACTTACAAAATATTTACATAGATATTGATATAAAAATGTACTATGTACCTATTTAAGTATCGAGCATAATTAGGTATATCCTAACCACTTTTGTGGCTAACTAAAAAAAAATATCTACGGCATATCAAAAATTCCTAAATAGGTTAAAAATAATGATGCAAGATGTTCAATAGTCAGTTACGTAACACTTTCACTTGAAATAAACAATATCTACATCCATTTTTGTTCAACTGTGGAACTCATTCACAGTTTCTGGAATGTCAATTATGTTGGCATTTACAGAGTGTTCAACTGACGGTTCATTAATATCTATATACATACAATATAGCAGCCAGCGTTGCTACACCACACCGTATGATTTTGTTGTCTAACTGTCTTCTGAGTGTCGAACAAATCACTTAACGACACAATAATTACTTACACTCTAAACTTATTTGAGCAATCGTTTCATATTTAAGCTCTCAACCTCATAATAGAATAGTTAGACGAAAATATAGGCTTATCCATACCTTATATATACCTATAGATATAAGCCTATATTTACATATCTAAATCTTAGTAGAATATGTTAGCAAGAACATTTCTCAATATTGAAATTAGTGGTATCTAAAGACAAATATAGAAACTAAAACCGTGATGTTAAGAAGCAAAATGTTAACAAATAACTTATTTGAAACAAGATAGAGATCGACAAAAGACAAAACGAATCTGATAACTGTTTGAGAGGCAGACGGTCATTCTTCAAATTCTATTTCATATATCATAATGTATCGGTTCGTTAGCAGTGGATCTAAGTCATTAATTTACCACTAGTAAGTAGTTACTGGTACACGTGTAATGTGACAGTATGACAATCTAATTAATTAACGAACCTATATTTTATAATAGCCGTCAAAATGCTTTTGTCACAATCTGTCACGTTCGTTACAAACACTAACTTGTTTGTTAGCCAATTGTTTGGAAACATCTCGACCATAATTAAGATGATAAAATAATTTGTTTAGAAGTATCCATGTAATTATATTTTGCAAAAAGGTACAGAAGTTTGATAAAGTATGAAAGTGGAATATCTGGTAAGCCTACTTTGTATCAGAAATGCGGGAACTTCAATCAGTGACAAAAGTCAAAGCTCAAAGGTGAATTTATTGAACGTGACTTCCTGAAAATGTGTACCCATGTTGTTGGCTAATTTTGATGCTCGTTCAAAGTTTATGCGATAGGTACTTTGAAAGAAGTAGGTATCTAAGTATATATCTAGTCCCGAAACTGATTGGTAAGAATAACGATGTTAGAGTAAATGAACGCCTTTAGGTTTCAGGAACTTTCATGAAGTTTAGTTTGGATTGCTTTTATTGACGACGTCTTAAGCGGTGCATTAAAGTGAAATGACTTCCTGTTTGCCGGTAAAGCTTGTGGTTACAAATCATAATGCACTATCTATACCTGACTATGGTGTAGTCGATGATTTATAGATATTATTTTGATTTGCATAAGCGTACCTAATACAGTCTTCGGTTAAACAGCCGCGGCCTGAGGGGAAAATGAAAGTAGGAGGTTTGTTTTCATCATTCCGACTGACAAGGCGGTCACGATCTGTCGGTGTGCCGACTACATTATCAGATGTCATTGTTACAATACCGCAATAAGTAGGACTTCAAGTAATTTGTTAACGAGATGTTCTTTTCTATCTTAATGATCTCCGCTATTCAATTGAGTGGTGTTCGATTGTATAATGGGCCTAAATGTTTGACACTTGAAAAACTGTTGAACAAGTTCTTGTCATAAACGTTGTTATAATGTTAATGGCTCTTCTGTGTTTCATAAAACATTCTGGGTACTTGAAAGATTTTATAGCTTTTCGAGACAGGAACGGTTAAGTTTGGCTTTGTATTAATTATGAATTTAGATAGTCGTGGACCACGACTCGTGGTGGCCGGAGGTAGACGCCCTCTACTCCCAAATAAGGGTGCAGACTTGAAACCTGGCAAGTAACAATGTAAGATTTCTCGCGTTATATGCACTTTATATGTTGCAAGCGCGAACCTTAGTTAGAAAAAAGGTTTTTGTACAGATGTGAGCACTTATATGCTTATAATGTGTGGTGTGATGTGATGTCATTACTTATAATTTGTATATGAATAGCATGAACCGTCTGTGTCCCTATGCAGTTTAAGTCTATGTTACATTGGAAGGCTAGTAAAGTTAGCCGCTCTACTTCGTTAAGGCGCCAAGCACTAAAATAATATTTATTCAGTCACCTGCCTAACTGTAATCCTGCTTGTAAATGTATTGAAATTTCAACAGAGTCTATGTGGGTGTATAATATAACCTGTACAGGAAGTTAATTCGCAAAATTAATGACTTACCTTAACTTAGGTAAGTTGTGAAATCACAACAACCTGCTACAGTTGAAATAAATGCCGTTTCATGTAAATTCTATGTTCTAGCTATCGAATACTTATTAATTACTACGCCGCTATATGTACGTTTATATTTTATAGAGATTTTTATTAACATTTTAATACACACCTATTCCGGCCTGTACAATTTATCCTTCAAATATCGCACGCTCATGTGACTAAATCTATGAAGTGTTACAATAAACACGCCTTATACAATATACGTACAGCAGTGCTGTAGGAAATGCCAAGTATTTCGGAATTGTTGCGAGCAAACAGTAAGCACAATGTAAGTATTCGATTGCGTTCGTAACATAACGTGAGTATTTGGAGCGACATTTTTTGCACAGGTGCAAGTCGCGCGCGATAGGTAAACATGTTATAAAACGTTGCATCATGCAGCTCCACATAACCGTCAGTTCTCGTACGCTAAGAACAATAAACACTTGTAATCATTGGTAATTGTCACGGTGAGAACGGCAGGTTTTTGCGCGGACGCTCACAAAGCTGCGGAAAGCGTAGCCCCGTGTGTGTATGAGTGCGATGCCGAACCAGATTTACGTAATGAGAGCCACGCAACTTTCCTTGCGCGGAAATGTCGCGAGTCTCTGCTTGGCGCTTTTTCGACGACAGCGACGCACCAATTGCAAAGCTTCGCTCTTGCGAAGTTTACTTATGAGCCAACAATTTTAAACGTCTTTAATGTTTTGGTTTTGCGTAATTTTTGCATACTTTTCGATATGTAAGTAGAATGAGCGTAAACTGCCCATAAAAACCTGGTTGAGACCTAACTTGCAGATTTACGGTTGAATACAATCCCTACTTTTTGTTTTACCTGTAACTTATATTTACACTAATGTTATTTTTACATGAGTAGTTACCTATTTTCGAGATTTACTAATAATCCTAAACTCTACCAATCAACCGTTGAACGACGAAATGCTACGTAAATACGAGCAATAGAAACCTTAGCTTTATAGGCGTTTAGTACGAATGTATGTTTATATGTTCCGGTGACTGCATACCAGAGCGTGTATTGCACAGTATTTTGTGTTCCTTGTTGCTCAACCGGGAGACGTAAATGGTAGTGTATCGGAGACTGTCTGCTAGTTGCGCACAACCAGACCGACGGGCGCTGATTAAAATTCCGACAACAGAGCTACTACAAATACTAACAGTAACATACCCGAGCCACCGCCTCGGCCTAGCCTGTCCGATTTGTAGCAATTCCCTCTCAAAGTCGGTGCAATCGCCTTACTTCACTCAACCTACATCTAGACAAGCATCCATTTAACTAAGACATATTGCTCCAGCTACTTGTAATCAACTTTTTGTCCCTCGCTATGATTCATATTGCTGCGACGATATCAATACGAGTCACAGAAACACGCATAACTAAGCTGTATAATTTCATGTAGATACGAGCTACAGATTATGTTGTCACTTGCCACCAATCACCAATTGTCAAAGAAAACGTTTAAAATTGTTGATATCAAAGACAATATCAATGCTGATTTAAAGCTAAAAATCTATGAAACATGACTCCTCATAGTACATCCCTGCCTCTATAGAGTTATATCATTCGCACGGTTAGCACATTTTATTAATTGCACCTTAAGATTGGTTGAGCGACAACGATAGGTGTGTTGTGTTATAATGACTAATAATATTTTTTATGTAACTTTGACTCACTTTCACGTCTTTATAGTTGGCGACGATTTCCGAAGCGAAAGTATTATTGCCGATGATGGGTTTGTTCTTGACGCTAGGGAAGATGATCCCGCCCTTGCGGCTAGCGGGCCGCGGGCTGGTGCTGCCCGTGCTGGCCGTGCTGGCCGGTGTCACAGTCACCGTGGCGCCGGCGCCGCCGGTCGAGCTCCACGTGCTCGAAGTGCTGGAGGTGCTCGTGCTCGTGCTCGGGCTGCAGGCGACACGAACATTAGTCACCGTACACCCCTACACCTTGATCGCTAAATACACATCGCTAGTGTAGGATGTAACAGTAACACAGCACAATCGCTAGGGCTCGCAAAATATATCGCATAAATAAACACAATCGCAAAGTCTTATTGGCTTAGTTGAAAATAGAAAGATATCACCTGTTGTTTAGTGTAGACGAGGGCAGCGTCGTGGTTGCTGACGCGGTGCTTGTACTAGGGTCGGTGTATGGTTCGTCGACTCTGTAGCGGTTAGGGGCGTACTCTACCAATCGGTCGATGGTTGGGTCCAGTAGAAGTTCAGCGGGTACCGGCCGCTGAGCCAGCGTTGCGACGTCATCCTCCTGTTTCTTCAGCCGCTTTTCTACCATGTCCAAATTTTCTATGATAAGGTTTGTTTTTAAACGTAGGTCATTGTGGATTTGTCCTATAGCGCGCTCCTGACGCTGCGTCTGTGTAAGTAGTTCATCTGACTTGGGAACTAAATCATCCACGGAACTCTTCGTACCGACTACTACGTCCCAAACTTCATCCATCTTCTCTGAGACGCTCATCATGGGGATTATTTTATTTACAAGTGTATCTATTTTACTACTTTTCGTTATTGGGGCCTGTGTACTTGTAGCTGTACGGTTTTTGAACAAACTGTTGACATTGATTGAAGCATCTTCAGGCTCGACTATAGCCGCGTGTACATCAGCCATCATGTAAAGTACTTTGCCTAAGTTCTCTGAGACGAGGTTAATATGGAACTGGAGTTTTCGATCGACTGTCGATACAGAGCTTCTCAGTTGATCTACTTCTTTAGTGATTTCATTGATAACCTCGGTGTTCAAACCTTTTGCAATTTCTATTACGTTCAAATTGATAGGTTTCTTTTCACTAGCCTCGGCATTGATGTCATCGACTGGCAAAAAGTTACTGTCGATCTGATTTTTAAGGCCTACCAGTTTCGTGTCGATGTTCGAGACTTTTTGATCTAAAGATTCCAGTTTTCGGTCAAGCAACTGTGCGTCACTTATCTTGTTTTTATTTTCGTTCTGTTTTTTAGCACTGTGTTCGGTAACGCTTTCCTCGTCATTCTGGCCTATGTGACTGAACAGTTTTAGGTCGAGGTTTCCCAGTTTTGATATGATAGCATCAGTTTTGTGTATGTTGTCATTTACTCTTGAGTCGAGCGCTTCCACTCTCCTCATTAAATGTTCGACGGCCTTGTCCAAGTTCTCTATTCTTTGTAGTTTCGTCTCTAACGTGCTCACGATGACTTCAAAAACGTTGAAAATGTACTGCTCTCTGCAACAACAATAAATACTGCTTTTAGTAAAAAAGTTTTAGCAATAAGCTAGCACAACCTCACTAAGAATTTACGCTGTACGATACAATGGTCTATTATAAACTATTATGTTGTTATTTTTTTACTTCTACAAACCTAGAGAAATTGAAATAACCCGCATCATAGTAAGTTGTTATGCAAGGAAAGAAATAGAAACCTTAAATACATGCTACCTACGTGCGTGCCACAAAATGTTCAATCGTGTCACAGACCTAAGACTCCTGCAGACATGGCAGGCATGACGTTCAGTAAGCATTAACCAGTTCTTGTTATGACTTATTTATAGATACAATTGCGACTCAGAAAGTGTTCGAACCTATAAAATATGTAGCAATTTGTTCCAGCGATTTCGTAAATTAAACGTCATGTCTAACCAGTTTATGAGTCTATGTAATAGTAAATATTTTCGTTAGACTTCATTCAAATGGTCTACGGTACATTTTGTTTGGTCATATAACAGCGTGTGATGACATACCAAGTTTTTTATTATTAGCATGTCTATTAGAGGCATAGCCGGTATTGATAGTAATAGATCGACAGAGTTGACGCGTTATAAAAACAATGCGCGTGTGTTTATGTTCAGTGACAGCATGATGTAAAATAGTTGCGTCATACAATGCCAGAATACGGTATAAAAAAATATAACTACATTCAAATTTTTTGTAAAGGAAAATTTTCTATGAACTTTATGAACGTAGGAAAAAGATGAAAAGAAGCTTAGTAAGTACCTTTAAAATTAATTAAACATCATTAGTATGTAAATAAATATGAATGATATCGAGAGAAGCGTTGGGCCAATCGTGGGCCAATCGATATAATGTTTATGTAACACGTTTATATGGGAATTATTAATCACGATGTTGTCAATGAAATAAACAAGTTTTTTTTATATATTTTTATTCACAACATCATCAACCACTTTCTTCTTGATGTTTGTCTGAAGCACTGACTCATCTTTAAGATTGTAGTATAAATTTTACTTTAGGATTTTATTAAGTTTACCTAACAGGCAACTATTAGACAGATAAATTGATAATAAAATCTGCAAACTAGTAGCGAAATAAGTACCTATAAGTAATGACGACATGATTTAGTTTTAACACTACAGTGAACGACTTCCAAACCAATTAAAGGTACCTATTTGAGCAACAATAATCGCAGTTATTATAACTTTCGAAGCTAGCACTAATCTTGCGAGCAGCAAGGTGCTCGCCAACATAAATTAATTTCGAAATCACAAACGAACCTGTTATTATATTATACATACGTGTACAGATTGTCGGTCGCACCACATCGGCCTAAAGTAAAGCGAGAGGCTATCGCCCGGTATTATGCAAATCCAGTGTAAAGTCGCAGTTTGGTCAACCGGCCCACTTACAGTGTTTGCTTTACTAAATTGATAGCCTGTTACGACCTGTCCTATCCGATACGTGAATAAACTTCCTGAAATAGAAACATTTGCTAAGTGAACCAACGGCATTGAGGATTTTGCAACACTTGCCTCCTTTCGAACGCATTATAGGTTCTATATTCCAGGGAACGGTTCTAGAAATTAAAGCGAACTGGTGTTGATTAATGAAGTATTCGATTTAGCGGTTTGGGTGAGCGGGTACCTGCTTCTTACTGAGCCCAGACTTGGAAGTATTTTGTAAGTTGTCTGCCGATGCTAAGGCAGATTGTAGATTGTTAACTATTGGGCACTCGCAGTTAGCCGCGGCTCGCGTGCTGCGAATGTTTTGCCATAAATCCAGCTCCCAGGTTAACAGTTAGTGTGTTAATCAATCACATTAATTACCAGCTTGTCTGATTCGATGGAGATTCGTTCTGTTGTTGCCGACTTACTACTTGTTAGGTAATTTATAAATACTTCACTAATTGTTGATTGTTAACGCTGCGTAAGTACTAAACTAGACATTGCGGTGAATAAGTTATTAAAAGATAATTGTCGGTACCTACAAGTTTTCTTTGTTACTTTCATCTGAGGAAAAGTTTATTCGTACGTAGGTTCATAATTTGTAATTTGTGTCGAACTTATGAGTATTAATAACAATATTTGTAATAGTTAAATGTGAACAGTCAGGGACAGCGTTTATAACATAATCTATACTAATATTATAAAAACGTAAAATTTGTAAGTTTCAATGTAAGGAGCAATCTTTGAAACCGCTGGTCGGATTGCCAAAATTCTGTCACTGATAGAGAGCTACAATGAACATCACGCTACGATCAAATGGAGCTGAGCAGCGGCTGAAACCGGCGAGAGAAGCTAGTAATAAATCAATTTTCCAAAACTAGATAAATCCATACTAATATCATAAATGCGAAAGTAACTCTGTCTGTCTTTTCTTCACGCCTTAACTACTGAACCTATTGGTGTGAAATTTGGTACAGACATACATAGTTTGGATAGTTTTCAAACCAGAAATCTGTAGGAAGTTACTATTCCACGCGAACAAAGTCGCGGGCAAAAGCTAGTATGATATAAAATATTTAAACAAAATTGCGTTTCGATAAAATACCTACCTCATAAAACTACAATCTGATTAACACCTAATAAGTTATTGGACGTCTAAAAATTGTATAATAATATGTAAAATGCAGTTCCGTTACTGCGTTATACAATACGTGTTAGGTGGATTTAGAACATTAGTTATTAATGTTATTATATAATGCATTGTTAATTGATAACCATCTCTGACAATTAAAATAAATGGACCTTGGAATTATACAAGAATGTAATAAAAATGATTGTTGTTGATTTACGAGTGCTATGGGGCTACGCGCAAATTGTTTCCTTGTCAATAAAAAAAAACGTGGCAATTGTAGGGCTTTGGAGAGTGGCTGTTTTAAGTAGACACAATAATTATCTATGCCACTTATCTACTGCTTTAGTAACTTGAGCAATTTCCTCAATACTGATAGTTATAGATGAGAATTTCAATGGACTCCGTAGTTGGTTGTTAGTTTACCTGAAGCAGGAGTAATGCTCGGGTTCAACATTATAAAAAGTTTTGATTACCGTCTGCTTGTGTTAGTGGATAACCCAATCACATTCGGCAGGTGTAGTAGAAACAGCAGGAGCGATATACAAACATATGTACTTACATACGTACATATATAAATGTACAGTGCAGTTGGATGTTAGAAAATTAAAGACCTTCTTATCATAGTACAAAGCTAGGTATGTCTCCAATGTATAATCCTTCTTAGGTAAAAAACTAGGCGTGAAGTCACGTTACCTAAGATTTGCTTACATAGATTTAGTCTAGTGCTTTCACCTCTCTCTTTGTTTTAGATGTTAATTAACAAGTTCTTAGATAAGCATCGGCTTAAATATTAGCTCTACAAAGAGGTCTTGTTTATCTTTACGAGTTCAGTCTTACAAGACAAATATTTGCACTTTTAGTTAAGACTCTTACAGATATTATGTTGTGTTAACTCTTTTATTCATCATATTGTGATTCCCATGTATATATCTAGGTATCTGGCGCCTATTGCCATGTCCCGGATAATTTCGCGCCTTTTTTTGTTTTGAAAATGAGAACAAACATTTTTCATAATAATGCTAACTCTTTTGAACTAATTACAGTAATACTTATGTGTGGTCTTCTCGCTTTCGGGGTAATCAATTAGTCTTTGTCTTACTTAACGATGTCAGTAAATCATTTCACGGTCCAGTGTAGCGGCACATAGCGATGTTTCTTAGACTGCAGGACTAATCCGAGGGCAGAACATTCTTTTGCTCCGATTGAATTTGGTTCATGGTCCCTAGTTATTGTGTGGGACAGTGATATTGCGTGCTCAACCCGCGCAACGCTTTGTGCATACGAGGGGCCATTGTCAGGCGAATATTTTGTTCTATTTGTTCCGTACATAATGTAACAGAACTTGCTTTGTCTCTCCGCGACGTCCAAACGTCCCACGAACTGTAATTTTTTACACTATTATAATCACGAAAAGATTTGTTTGCTTATTTGGTTAGAACAATACATCACTTGAGGTCGTCAGTGTATGAACATCTTTAGTGTTCACTGTTTGGTCAGTTTTTCATAGTAAACAACAGTCGTGATTTTGGTTGAATGAGATTAGCAAACATCTGTGTATGTGGGTACATCAGAGCATTATTCTAAATGTACCGTTGTACAAAATGGTCGTTCGTCGTGATTATTTTATTATCGCTTTAAATCTGAGAAAAATAGTATCCACGAGCCATGTGAGGTATTCTGGGAGTCGTGAGTCTCCCGTATCTCCCGGCTGGTAACAGACAGTGATATGACATCACCGGGTTCTTGTTTGCGTCACGAAATAGTTTATATTTGAGTTTACTTCTACAACCGTTCTTCAAAATTACAATACAGTTTTATACAATAATTTTTTCTCATTACAACTTATTTTATCTCGTGATTTCAAGTGATAATTCTGATAACTGCTAAAACAATTTGTTCAATTTAAACTTGAGTTATGGTGAGAATAACAATTAATTAAGTTTTCTAGTTCATTGTTATTGCGTGCACCTTATCAGATAGTATGCCAGCACGATTATAATCGACAGGCACACGCTTGATGTATGTTATGGTCGAGCCGAATACAAGGACTTTGTAAGAATCTAGGTAAATATAATTAGTTGGAACTTAGCTGAGATATGATCGACAATGGAGCACTAATATGTCACCAGGTATGTTATAAGTAGAAAAAACAACAAATATTTTCATGGGAATTGTAAGAGTCGCACTCGATAGTGGGACCTTGCGTTAAGCAGTGGGTATGTCCGTCGTAAGCTAAGCATTACATACGAATATTTTGACGGCGACTTTGAGATTAAATGAACGCTGACCCTCGTGTGACCATGTAGCAGCTCTGTGCGCCACCCACGCGCCTCGTAGGCTCGCGGCTCGCGTGCAGCACCGATCCGACCATTAGTCTAGGCTGCCGCTACCTATACACCCAGATATTTTGTTACAGCGTTACATCACCATCTAGTTGTCGATTGCGTTTCTGTGTATTGTTTTGACAACATAATTAGAATTTGAAACAATAACGGCGGTTTCGTGTTACTCCCATAAAAATATTGACAACGTCCTATTACAGGCTTTCTGACCTTTAAAGTGACATGATAACTCAATATGGCTGCGATAATGTTCTTGTATTACATTCGTCGTGCAGTTTTATGTTTGTATAATAACGGGTTCATAGGTTTATGACCAACATGTGCATGTAAAGGGCACACCTGTGTCATACTTATTATAAAATATTTAAGTACCGGTTACTACATTACATTTTCATTGTTTCAAGAACACGAGAAAACTGTTCGTGCATTTCGTCTGCGTAAGACAAAATTAGATCACAATTACGAAGTCAGTTTACATAATATCGTGAAGTTATTTTGTTTTATTTTATCGAATAAAATGTGATATTTAAAGCGGTTGCTTAATTTATTTACGTTTTAATTGATCTTGCGACAGGCTTTGGCTTCGGCAATACTGTTGATATGAAGATGCTAACTTTTCGTCACATAATGTATCTATGTAATAATAATTACGTACCTACTTAAAGCTATTGTGATATGTAAATATGGATCTAAGCGCTTAGTCGTATTGTTGTCGCTTTGCCCTTTTACAAAACAATGAGGAAACGGATCGTGATTTTTGAATTTAGCTAATGAGTTGCACACACGACTTGTTGATAGATACAGATGTTGTGAAATCGAGGCTTTAGTTTGATCTATGCGGATAATTTGATCAAAATACGAAAGAAATGCCTGCTTTCATTAAGTTTTCTTTTAGGCATTTTAGATTAAATGTAAAACTAAATTCATGGAAAACCCGAAGTGGACACTTACGCACATATGTCACCTAAGATAGGTCGTAAAAATTAGTAAGTCAATATAAAAGATGTTACTACGATTACGATCTAGGACAATTAAGGAATTAACTCAACTTGGTCTCACATTGTGCAAAACTGAAATTAATGACCGTTCATTAAATGTATAGAGTTTTAGTCAAAAAACTATATTGAATCAAAGATATTGGATTGAAATCGTTTATTAACATCGGACTTAAGAAACGCGAGCTATTCTTACACATCTTCACGCCATTGTCGTGTCGATAGCGAGCTGCGGTATGTTATAGGAGGCTGCAGAGCGTGACTGGTAACAGTTACATCGGTCTGTTTGTATAGACACTTTGTGCCGATATTCTCTCTGTGAGGAACACGCAACAGTGACTCTGCGGTATCTCACGCACCGCACCAAACGTCTTCACTTATAAACCATACAAATTGCTCGTTCGTTTAGAGGTTTTTAGCGTGTAATGAAAGGCATTTCTTTTATTAAAATGCTTTTATTACTCACTGTGGTTAAGATTTAATCATTTACATTTAGGTATGTAAATTGCGCAAGAAAGACTTAATGGACTTGATGAACGTAATTTAATTCGAAGATAGATTTACCTGTGGAATATCAGAACTGGGTATATATCTGTCTCCGTCTTCATGTCAAAGTTAGAAACGAACAAATGGTATTTTGTCAAACTAGAAAGCGAGTTCACACAGTAATAAAGATTTTTATTTTATATATTTGATGATATAACATAACATTCAACATTTTAGAAATATGTGTTATTGTTTTAATGTCTCACTTGTTACGTGGCCATGTTGTATTTCATTTAATTTACCTACTATTAAGTAAGTTGAACTAGGAAATTATCAAATTGGTTAAAATGCGGAACTGAACATTTAGTGCGTACAATGATTTGAAAACAACATAGATTACTTAAACGGAACTTTGAAATTTAACGAAGTTGTTTTAAGTTTAGGATTAGTACCTATGACACGAAAATCTAAAAGAAATGGATGTTCCATTCAATTATATGTTGTCCGGATTACGGAAGAAACATAACGTACCCTAAAACTGCAATCAGACTTGACAGACTCATGACACAATGCTGGTCAGACTGACTTTTTGGGTGCTTAAATATTAAATATCTATGATATTTATTAAAATTCTATAATTTTTATTGAAAAAAGTAAAGAGAACAAACCTTACAAAGTAATTATTATAAGATAATAGTAGGTATGTAAGCTTGACTAATTTCTAATTCAAATTGGATCGCGTAATTTGCCGAAAATAGTGTTATTGGTGTAATCTTTTGGATATGTATGTATGTACCAACATATTTTTTTCCAGTTTAGTTAGCACAGAAGTGTTGAAACATTTCCAATTTGCAAGAGTAATTAGTACATCTCTTTTTCTTATTTTATTACAATGTAAATTGAGAAATGAGTGAGGTCTTAACCAATGCGAGCAAGTGGGACCAGTTATTACCATGTTAAAATTGTACTTATACTTAAGCCTGACATTGCTTATGTTGTTATGAAATAATACACAATAATAAAATAAATAATGACTGCACGGCTGCCGCTCAACGTGTCGCGGGTTCGATTCCCGCACGGAACAACTCTTTGTGTGACCCAGAAAATGTTGTTTCGGGTCTGGTTGTTGTGTGTGTTAATTCGTATGTTTGTAAACGCACCCACGAAACAGGAGAAAATCCTAGTGTTACCCTACGTTAAAAAATAAAACAAATACAAAATGTAATGAAAATGTAATATAACTACTAATATGATACTCTTCCAGGAGAAATCACGCAGGTTACTCGAGGAATGCAGAAGGGAATTACTCGTATATTCAAAGTACCAACATATTAGTATTATTTAGTAAGACCTTTTGAAATACAACGCATTTTTGTTGTTTGCTCGTTTAAAATTCAAGTGCCACTCATGTGGTTGGTTGGTTCTTCTAACATTATTGGAAAAACATGGACCTACTAAACCACAAAAGGCCAGATATATTTTTTCTTCTGCACTTATCGGGTTTTTTCCTTTTCCTGTATGAAGAATTTCTGTATAACTTATACATACAGATATATTTGATATTCTTATAAATACTTATCAAATTGTTTGTTCATCAATCCAAGAACTGAATACTTTTTTGTATAATTTGTAATTTTTTATTAGCACCTTAGTTAGTTTGTAGTGAAATTGCCGAATTGGTAAACTTAGGCAAAACCCCTACAACTACCTAATACTTATGGGAAACTACGGAATCAAGACTACTAGTCAATAAACCAGAGAATACGAGCACTACTTTTACGATCAACAAAATACTATCCAAACACACAGACAAAACTAATTGAAATAAAATGTTGCATGAGACATCCATCGAAAAGAACACAAAGATAATTAATTCTTATGTAAACATAAAGAAGTGTAAAGTTTATGATATTTGATTCGAAACATGATACTAAAACTTTCTATCGACTGACATTATTAAAGAAATCATATTTAAAATAAAATGTCGCGTTTGCAACTTGGCTTCTTTAAGATTAGTTTTGGAATATCACCTTCCAAATGCTGCGATTTTAGAATACAATAAGGATTTAAGTATGTTCTCCAAATGATAAAACTTTACGCATTAAATAAATTATATTATTATATTCTTTACAATTATTGTTATATAATTATTGCCTAGGTGGTTGGTAGATGTGCAGGTACGCGAATATCTATTTATTTTTATGAAGGTAACCATAATGAACAACATAAATGCACAAGCAACCAATTCACTCGGCCATTAAATACACCTAAGTTACCCCCTTCGGGGAACACAGACTCCGGTAAAATATTCTAATCCTTATCAGTCCTGATAATAAAACTGGAGACAATCGTCTTGTGGGTGGTATATCCATCATTAAGCAATTGTCTGATGATAAAAAGGGGGAAAGAACTAGGGGGAATGAAGTCATCGTGATATACAGACTAACTTATGGACAAAACCTAGGTTTTTATCTTGTAGCCACTCAATCATTAAGTGACGTGTGTTTCAAATTAGTTCAGAGATAGATCATTTATTAATCCCATTTATTATTCCCGTACATAGAAATATTTCTTTAGAGTACATTTTTTAAGTTGCAAGGAAATTTTCCTGTATTCGGAGGTGTATTAACAAACACAGATCTCGCACGTTTACCCGGAACACTACGCATATCTGTAGGTCAGACAAATATTTGTTCTGTTCGAAAATCAACCGCAAACGTAGCGCTTAAGGCAAGAGGAAAATCGTTGAGTTCATATTCTTATAATAACATTGACAAAGTACAATATATTCTGAAAAAAAAAACACCGAGGCACATCTGTTCAAAGATTTGATGGTAGATAAAGTCTATTATTACTAGATTAAATCTACATTTTATAACTAGGTACGAGTAAATATGAAACGTATGAACTCGCGTAACTCATGAACTGCAAGACTAAATTGGACATTTCTTTATTCAAAAGGACATAATCTATATTGATATGCTACTAAAAAGGTAATATACATTTGTAATAAAATTCGAGACATTTACCGGAATAGCAATGAACCATAGACGACAGGATTAATATTTGAGTAGCTAGTTTTTAAAAGTTAACAATAAATTAAAAATTGTGCTACTCATAATTATTTTTTTATGCCATATGCATTAAGAAAACATACACCGACTCCAATAAACATAAAATAAACTTTATTGCTAGTAATATTAAGTGTCACTATATTAAACTTGTTTATTTGATAATACTACATCAAATTGATTTAAAACATGAGAGACAGTCCACAAATAAACATAATCAAGTCAGCAATTAAATACGAAATTATCTTGTTTGGGAAAATGATACAATAATTACCACGCACAGTAATTTGACTGGATGTTTTGCAACATTTAAAGGCACGCAGACTACTTGTCCAGTTAAACTTGCAAGTAATTTTACGATTTTATCGAATGTATGATTATTACAGGTCTATATTTGTAGATAAGCGACTACGAATGATGGATGTTGGAATAACAAAAATCAATCTACTCATTATTCTCACGCCACTATTATAAGTGCCTTAAGTGGCCAGCTAACCCTCACTGAGATGTTTGCATCTCGCCCTCATTCTGTTCTGCTAACGCCTTCAGGCAACACACACCTCCTAAAGTATAATAATAAATTCCACCTCTGCTATTTGATAAATAAACTTAGTTTTATTTCATCAACCCAAACCTAACAGGTTATGGGCCCAGTGCACCAGTGTACCAGTGCAGTGCAGTAAAGTACAGTGTAATTAATAATAAATACTAGAAGTATCGTAAATACTTTTAAAAGACAATTAATAAATTTTAAGTGACTTTATTTTTATAAATGTACTGTGAAATTAAAATCAGTGAAAATGGACAGCTCCAACTTGAAACGGAACATTAAACAATTCGACGGTGAAAGATATAGTGTTTGGAAATTAAGAATTCGTAACCTATTAAGTGAACTTAATGTCCTTCATGTAATTGATGAAGAATTGCCAAGCGAACCTAATACTGAGTGGATTAAAAGTGTCAAAATAGCGAAAAATATTTTGGTAGAATATTTATCAGACACTTTACTCGGTTTAGTTACTGAACAATCTTCAGCTAAAGACATTTTCAATAAATTAGATTTGATATATGAGCGAAAAAGTACATCTAATCAGTTAACTTTAAGAAAACAACTTCTCAATATGAAGTTTAAAGAAGACCAATTAGTAAAGCATTTTCAAAATTTTGATGATTTAATATGCGAACTAGTATCGGCGGGAGCAACGTTAAATGAGAACGATAAAATAACGCATTTATTCATGACACTACCCAACTCTTATAATAGTGTTATTACTGCGATCGAAACTTTAGCCGAAGAAAATTTAAACTTGACGTTCGTGAAAACTAGATTGCTAGACCACGAAATTAAACTAAACAATGAAAATCGAGACACAAGTTTAAAAGTATTACAAGCTAAAACTACGTCGTTTTCAAAAATAAATAAATTCCCAAATGCGACCTATCATCAACAGAAACGGGGTCAACAATTATTTAATAACAGATTTAAAAGAAATTATAAATCTAAAAACGTGAAATGTCACCATTGTGGAAGAAAAGGTCACATTATGAAAAACTGTTATTACAACAAGATGGCAACTGAACGGTTTCAAAAGCCTGAATACCATCGAACAATACAAGTAGTGAATACTGAAACAACTGATCCAAACATATCCGGATTTGCATTTATGGTAGGAGCAAATGCCATAAAACGTAATAACCAAGAAACCATTACATTTGTGCTGGACTCTGGCGCTTCAGACCATTTCATCAACAGGCCAGATTTAGCGGAAAAGTTTACAGAATTAGAAAAACCAGTAAATATCTCCGTGGCGAAGAACGGTACTTACATCCAGGCTACAAGAAAGGGAAACTTACCGGTTATTAGTAACTTGGGATTAAAAGGTATATTGCAGGATGTTTTATTCTGTAAAGATATTCCATACAACTTGCTTTCAGTAAAGAAAATGCAAGAAGCTGGTATGACAATTATTTTTGGCAAAGATGGAAGCGTACAAATATTCGACACGGGTAAGACATTGGTAACAAAGGGTGAGTGTTTGAACAATTTAATT